CTCAAGTGGTAGAGCGCTAGCCTTGAGCTGAAGAGCTGAGGGACAGCGCCCAGGCCCAGAGTTCAGGCCCCACGACCGGACCCAAAAAAAAAATAAATTTGTATGGTTTGTGCTTTCTTTATGTCATCTTTATTTTCCAGTATATGTAAGACTTTTTCTTAGCCTTCTGATAACTCTTGAGTACTTTTATTATTCAATGACTTTTGATAGGTTTGTTATTCTGATTTTTATATTACTGTTATAGTAAAATTTGTAGTAAAAAAAGAAAATCTGGTTATTTGAAGGTGAAAGTTTTTTAATTTATGTACTGTTGCATTATATGTTTGCGTGTGTGTGTGTGTGTGTGTGTGTGTGTGTGTGTGTGTGTGTGTTGTGCGTGTTGTGCCAGTCCTGGGGCTTGAACTTTGGGTAAGGGTGCTGTCTCTGAAGTTTTTTGCTTCAGGCTATCATTTTACCACTTGAGCCACAGCTCTGGCTTTTTGGTTTTTAATTGAAGATACAAATCCTATAGACTTTTCTGCACCCACTGGCTTCCAGCCATGACAGATCTCAGCCTCCTGAGTAGCTAGGATTTCAAACATGAGCTACCTGCATCCAGCTTCAATAATATCTTTAAATGATATTTTCTTTAATAAAAATAATACTGGTTCTTGGTGACTCCCCTCTAATATGTGAACAATATAATAGTATGGTGTGTTGTACATGGCTAGGGAAAACGTATTTGGACATATAAGCTTGTTCAGGGATCATTTGAAATAAATAATTGAAATAAATGTTCATCTCTTTGGGGCGGGGCTTCTTTTTAGAATCAAGATTTGTTTGCTACATCACAAAATAAAGAATTTGATCCGCTTGGTCCTTTGCCACCTGGGTGGGGTAAGTCACATGAGTTTTTTTTGTTGTTTTCCACTAAATTCTATTTTTTTTTAAATTAAGGGCTGGGGATATTGAGTATTTGCTTAGATGACATACAATCTAAGCATGATTCCCAGCACCACAAGAAAGAAAAGTATTTGTGGATGATATTTTACTTTTGTTTAAATGAATACCTAGTAAGTTTTTCAGATCTATGAGTCAAATGAAAGCATGAAGTAGGCAAAACTCTGAAAATTCCAACTTGGACTCTTCATTAAAATAGAGTTTTATAGGAATTTAGTATCATTTTCCTCTTCTAAAGTTTTTTTGGTTTTTTGTTTGTTTTGCTTTTTCAGTTGTTGGGCTTGAACTCTGGGCTGGGCGCTGTCCCTGAGCTCTTCAGCTCAAGGTGAGCACTCTACCACTTGAGCCACAGCACCACTTTTGGTTTTCTGGTGGTTTATTGGAGATAAGAGTCTCACAGACTTTCCTGCCCAGGCTGGCTTTGAACCATGAACTTCAGGTCTCAGCCTCCTGAGTAGCTAGGATTACAGGCGTGAGCCACTGGCACCCATCTCCTCTTCTAACATTTAAAAATGATAATTCTGCAATAGGGGAGTATTCAGAATTGACCTCCAAGAGCATTCATTATACTCATGAAGAAAGTTTATCTCACACAGTTATATACCTTTTTTAGTCAGTCTCTCTCTTGAAGATTCATCACTTCCCAACAATGTCATACTGAGAACCAAGCTTTCAATACAAAAATTCTTTCAAGTTCATACTCAAACTATATTGATATTATAGGATTCAATTTACATGCCATCCTGAAAATGACAAAACTACAGATGAAAAACAGAGGGGCTGAGAAGGTGGCTCAGTGGTAGAGCCTAGCATGCACGAGGCCCTGGGTTCTATTCCTCAGCACCACATAAGCAAAAAGAAAAAAAAAAGCCAGAAGTGGCGCTGTGGCTCATGTGGTAGAGCGCTAGCCTTGAGCTGAAGAGCTGAGGGACAGTGCCCAGGCCCAGAGTTCAGGCCCCACGACCGGACCCCTCCAAAAAAAAGAAAAATAGATAAGTGACTATAAGGGTACAGAATAGGTAAGAGTTTGGTACATTAAGAGGTTATATTAGGAGTTATGTGATAATGGAAAAATTCTACATATTGATTTTGGTGGTGATTACATTTATATATATGATACAATGCATTAAAGTAAACTTTTAAAACTGGTAACATTTTTAACATTGTTGGGCACCTGGGTCTTATGCCTATAATTCTAGCTACTGAGGAGGCTGACATCTGACTGTTTTAAACCAATCTGGACTGGAAAGTCACGAAGCTTATCTCCTCCAATTAACCACCAACGAACTGGTAGAATGCTAGTCTTGCACACAAAAGAGGTTCAGGGATAGCACCTAGGCAGGACCAATCCATAAAAAAAATGACAGAGAGAGAGAGAGAGAGAGAGAGACACACACACACACACACACACACACACACGCACACGCACGCACACATCTCTGTAGCGTTTCCGTGTGTAGCTAATTTAACAGTAATGTACTAATGTCAAGAATCTTGGGTTGGGAATGTGGCTTAGTGGCAGAGTGCTTGCCTAGCATGCATGAAACACTGGGTTTAATTCCTCAATACCACATAAACAGACAAAGCCAGAAGTAGGGCTGTGGCTCAAGTGGTAGAGCAATAGCCTTGGACAAAAGAAGCTCAGGGATGGTGCCAGGCCCTGAGTTCAAGCCCTAAGACTGGCAAAGAAAAAACAAATGCTGGGCACTGGTGTCTCATGCCTGTAATCCTAGCTACTCAGGAGGCTGAGGATCATGGTTCAAAGCCAGCCCAAAAAGGAAAGTTCTTGAAATTCATCTCCAATTAACCACCAGAAAAAAAAATTGGAAGTGGCGCTGTGGCTCAAGTGGTAGATTACTAGTCTTAAACTGAAGAGCTTAGAGACAGTGCCCAGGCCCATAGTTCAAGCCCCACGACAGACCAAAAAAACAAAAACAAAAACCTCTTACTAAAGTCATAGTCATGTAACAAGATTCCAGAATAAAGGTGGCAATATTAAATAATTTTGAATGTAAACCAAAAAGGAAAAATAGTAGAGTGAAAACAGGGAACCAAGTAGAATCTTACCCGTTAAAGCTTCAGATACTTTATAATATTGTGGTTAATTTAGAAAGTGGTATTCTTTATAGATAGTCTGATTGGGAAACATTGATTCCAAGATATAGCAAAACTGCCAAGTAACAAATAAAAATAATGATGTGTCAAGATCATATAAATCTAAGCAGAGATACTGTTTCACAATCCTATGAGAAATCCCTATGTTCTTTCATTGAAGTTACTTATCTTCAAAACACTTATATGAATCAAAAAAGTAAAACAAATGTACCATCTTATTTAAAACTGTTATTGTTACTAAATTCTAACAAAGAACACTTTTCTAAGTTACTGTTTTCAAGAACTCAGTGTGAAGGTAAAGATTTCTGGCTCTGTTAAAGCCTCAGAGTGGTTTATATGTGGTTGATATGAGGAACTTCAGAACAGATGTTACCTTTAGAAACCTGACCTGTCAGATTGTATTTCTAGTTACAGATAGCTTGCCAAGCTTTATTTCTAAGGTTTTTTGTTTTGTTTTGTTTTCTCCTGTTTCTGGGATTTGAACTCAGGGCACTGTTCCTGAGCCTCTTTGATGCTTACAGCTAGTTAGTATTCTAGCACTTGAGTCATAGCACCACTTCCAGTTTTTTTGTTTTTTGTTTTTTTTGTTGGTCCTGGGGCTTGAACTCTGGGCTTGGGCGCTGTCCCTGCACTCTTCAGCTCAAGGCAAGTGCTCTACCGCTTAAGCCACAGCGCCACTTCCAGTTTTCTAGTGGTTTATTGGAGATAAGAGTCTCACAGACTTGCTTCCTGGGCTGGTCTGGCTTTGAACTGTGATCCTCAGATCTCAGCCTCCTGAGTAGCTAGGATTACAGGTGTGAGCCACCGGCACCTGGCTCCAGTTTTTTAATAGTTTATTGGAGATAATTCTGCCTTGGCTGGCTATGTACCATGGTCCTCAGATCTCAGCCTCCTGAGTAGCTAGGATCACAGGCATGATCCATCATTTAGAATTGTCCAGCATTTCTAAAGTTTCTGTTGTTTTGGGGATTGTGTATGTGTTTGTGTGCTGGTAGTAGTCCTTAAACTCAGGGCCTCTCGCTCTCCATTGCTGGCACTCTACTTCTTGATCCATAACTCTACTTCTGGCTTTTTGGTGATTTCAGATAAGTCTCATTGACTTTCCTTTCCAGGCTGGCTTCACTAAGGCAATCTTCAGATCTTAGCCTCCTGAACAGTCAGGATTATAGGTTTGAGCCAACAAAACATAGCTCTAAAGTTGATTTGTCTCTATTACAAAATGAGAAATTGTTATGTTAAAAGGATATATCTGAGGTGGGGGTGTGTTTGTGTGTATCCCAAATTTAGTGCAGAAAAAACTAACTTTATGGTGATAGAAACAGATTACTCCTCTGGAACAGATGTAGGGGAAAAAAATCACCTGTTTCTTCCAAAAGTTAAATTGTGTGCTATGTTGCCTTTATAGAAAAGCTTTCCTACAAGTTGGACCTTGCCTGTATATTTATCACTATCCTCATTATTCAGATCTTTTTGAGTTTTACTTTAGACAACAGCTCTTTTTTTTTTGGTCATGGTGCTTGAACTCTGGGCCTGGGTGCTGTCTCTCAGCTCTTCAGCTTAAGGCAAGCTCTCTGCCAATTGAGCCACAGTGCCACTTCGGTTTTCTGGTGGTTTATTGAAGATAGAGTCTCAAGGATTTTCCTGCCTGGGCTGGCTTTGAACATCTCAGCCTCCTACGTAGCTAGGATTACAGCCGTGAGCCACCAGTGCTTTTTAAAAACAATTATAATAACAATTGTTATTATAAAGGTGATATATAGGGGTTATAGTTACTAAGTCAGGTAAAGAGTACATTTCATTTTGTCACCCCTTCCCTTGCACTCTCGCAGTTATTCCCTCCCATCCCCATCCACAAAGTTGTACAGTTCATTTTCAACATAGTGTCTAGTGAGTTCCATTGCGAACAATTACTGTAATTATAGAGGTGATGTACAGAGTGATTACAATTACATGAGTCAGATAATGAATACATTTTCTTTCATAGTGTTTTCCATTCCCTCATTCTCTCCCAGTCCCTCCCTGTCATCTCCACCCACAAGTTGATTAGTTCCTTTCATCAGTGTCCAGTGAGCTCTACTGCTGCATTTTTTCACCCTTTTTCTCTTGTCTTCTTCCCTCCCCCCAACCCTTCTGAAGATGTACACTTGAATACACCATACATAAGGTAAAGAACACAGAATCATCAAACACTAAAAACTGGAAAAAAGAAATAAAGAAGAAAAAAGTTTCCACATCTTAGAGTTTGTTTCAGTATGTGTATTATTTTATACAAATATGAGGAGGCACTTAGGCATTGCACTTTTGTGTTTCTCTCCTAAGTGAGAGAAACACAACTCTTTTGGTCTCACTGTGTGTGAGTCTCTAGAATCATATAATTTATCATATCCTTGTGTTAGATCTGGGACATATGCCTTATTTGTAGAACAACACTGGTACTGTATCAGATGAGGAAATCCTATCAAATTAACCTTTTATATTGTCCCAAGAGATAGAATCCCAGCTTATAGTCTATGTTTTCATTTCGAGATTGACAGTGCTGTTTTTGTTACAGCATATATACTTAAATCCAACTTTGTTTCCCTCTCAGAACTTTTATGTGCTAGGACTAGACTTACCACCTTATAAGCTGACAGTGAAGAATTTTTAACATATCCACACTGTAGGAGCTAGACAACAGAGTGTTTTTGATTCAATGATAGTCTTTTTTTTTTTTTGGCAGAAGGGGGTCCAGACCAGTACTCCAGTTTGGTACCTGTTTTTCTTCATTGGCTAGCACTCTACAAACTGAGCCATGCCTCCAACCCCAAAAATGTAGTCTTTTT